TTCCCTGACCAGGGATTGAACCTGGGCCACCACAGTGAACGCGCCGAGTCTTAACCACTGGACCGCCAGAGAATTCCCTCCCCTCCTACTTCTTGTCCCCATCTGCCACTGTGACCCAGAGCATCCCTGCCCCCAAATACCAGTCACCTGGGATTGCCAGGGGCCCAGCTGACCTCTTCAAGGTGCTGCTGGGGAGGCGGGCGATGCGACTGTGGCCGCGGGAACTGCAGGAGGGAAGGAAGGAAGAAGGGAGGAAGGTCACAGCCAAGCTTCTGGACTATGGGGGGGGCGGTGGGGGTGGGAGGGTAAGAGCTAGACACGGAGCCTCGGGAGCAGGGGGAGGCTGAGCACTTGGCCAAGGCCAGACCTGAGGGTGGGAGAGGCAGGAGGGGGGGGGGGGGCCGAGTCTTAACCACTGGACCGCCAGAGAATTCCCTCCCCTCCTACTTCTTGTCCCCATCTGCCACTGTGACCCAGAGCATCCCTGCCCCCAAATACCAGTCACCTGGGATTGCCAGGGGCCCAGCTGACCTCTTCAAGGTGCTGCTGGGGAGGCGGGCGATGCGACTGTGGCCGCGGGAACTGCAGGAGGGAAGGAAGGAAGAAGGGAGGAAGGTCACAGCCAAGCTTCTGGACTATGGGGGGGGCGGTGGGGGTGGGAGGGTAAGAGCTAGACACGGAGCCTCGGGAGCAGGGGGAGGCTGAGCACTTGGCCAAGGCCAGACCTGAGGGTGGGAGAGGCAGCAGAGGGGAGGGGAGCTGAGTAGGGTTTGGGAGGGAGGAAGAGGTGAGGGGGTGGGTAGTCCACTCCCTGGATTACCCAGTGAACACTGATTGCCCCCCTCGTGGAGAGAGGGTCTGTGGCCTTTACCAGAGGAGGGAGACATCTCTAATATAATCCTGTAATAGCAAGAGCCCAGGGAACCTCAGACAACCAGACGCTGGTCCTGCCAGAGGACCAGCTGTAGTTGGCCCGGTGCCCGCTGCCCTGGTGACAGCTCCTTCTTTTCCTCCGCCCACACCTCCCCAGCCTCACCTCACAACGCGCCTCTTCTTGCGAGCTGAGGTCCCAGGGAAGGAAGTTGCCGGCTTGGGGCCCCTCACGGTGAACAGGGGCCTGGGTCCGCTGGGGAGGGAGGAGGATGAAGGTGGCACATCAGGAGGGAACCAGAAAAGGGTGCCGGCACCTCCCGCTCCGGCGCCCGTCTTGCGGGGCAGGGAGGTTAGACAAGGTGACCTCTGAGGTTTCTTCCTCCTAAGAGGCGGACTCCTCTCCCTGCCTCACTCGGCCTGGGCTGACAGCTGAGTGACAGGCCTGCTCTGGGAGAACATCCAGGTGTCAGTTTCTGGCGCGTCCGGGGAACTGGAGTTCAGACAGTTTCACCCTTCCACCTGCCTGGCTCTGAGCTTGTTACTGAGAGGGGGTTCGGGCTGTGGGAGAGGTGGGGGGAGCAGTGGGCAGCCTGCCACCCTCGGCCTCCCGAGTCCAGGTCAGTCTGCTGCTTGTTCGTGGCCTTGGACTGTCCTGAGCTGGTTGCTGCTCCCCCCTCCCTGCCACGTGGGCAGAAGCCGAGGATGAGAGCATCTTCCCACTGAAAAATGCTGAATAAAGTTTTCTCAGGATCCCCTTCCCAGTTGCAGATGCTGGGCGGGAAGGTAAAGTCTGGGGTGGAAGTGGTAGAAACAGGTATTTCTCAGTGGGATACAGAACTCAGACCAGGCCCAAGTGATGCCAAGGAACAGAGTGGGCTGGGCACCCCATGTTAGCTCCTCCTCCCTGCTGACCCTCCCCATAGGGGGCGCCTGTGAGCTACTCATGGGCGTGTCACAAACCAGCACAGAGCTGGCGGCTTTGAAGTATAGATGGACAAGGCGGGGCCTGGAGAGAAGCAACGCCTCCAAAGAGAGGGCGCGTTCTGCTCTCCTGGGCCTGGTTGCTGGTCAGACCAAAGGGAAAG